GAATACTAAAAATAAATAAAAACTAAATATGATGGAAACGAAAGAGGAGGAAAGAAAAGAGAGTAGATAAAATTTTATACCAAGCTATATATGAGTCTTTTCACATCCTCTTTTTTTATATTTCATTAGTTCACAATTTCGTTTTTATAAGACTTAATTCCGTAAAAAATCCCGGCCTTCTTTGAAATATCATGAACTGTTCTTGTTGGTTGAGCGCCTCTTTTTAAGGAAATCGAGAATAGCAGGAAGATTTAAATAAGTTTTGATTAGTTTTATCGGATCATAAAACAAATCCCACTTTGTCCGAAGATCTCTTCCTTCTCTTCGGGATCGAACATCAATTGCAACAATTTTTTCGATAAACGGCTCATTAGGATAGATGTATATGAATAAGACCCCCCTCTAGAAAAGACGTATAAGAGGCTTTGGCCTCGTACGGCTCGAGGAAAAAAATTCAATGAGTAGAAGTGAACTCTCTATATAAAAATAAAATATTAAATATATTAATAAAAAAATTAAACCAATTTAGACCAGTATTGAAACCTAAATATTTTTTTTTCATAAAAAGCATTCTTAACATTCGTACTCTCATTAACTCAAGTTAAATAACTCTCAAACACTATCTCAACAGAGAATCCTTAAAGTTACTCTTTTTATTTTTTATTGAGTAGTCTCTAACCCTTTTTTGTTTGTCTCATTTTTTAGAATAAATGTTTATTCTTCATTCTGATCTAGTTGTTCAAAACAATTGAAACTGGATTTCCTTGTTTCAGGATTTTTTATCCTTACTTTGAATCTTTGGGTTTTTAGACATGACTTCGGTGATCTTGAATCGTTTTATTAAAAAAAGGGCAGCAACAAGCCCCTTATTTTGTTTATGATTTCTTTTATTTCTATCAAAGAAATCATACAAAACGCTTGATTCACGCATAATAGACTTTTGATTAAAATAATTTTTTACAATTTTAATAAAATTTCCTTTTTATATTGTAAAATTACTTGAAAAGGGCTTTTTTCAATATAAAAATAAAAAGACTTACGAAGTTGTTCCAACTTATTGATTCGCACTAACCCTGGATCCTTACTCCTGTGAAAGGAATAAAAACTTTCTATTCTCCTCGAGCTCCATCCTGTACTCTTTTTTATATTCAAAAAAAGTGTAGGACTCTAGTAAAATAGAATACAAAATGTCGAGCCAAGAGCACCTATATTTCCTATATAAAAAGTGGCGGATAAAAAAAATCCACAGCAGATCATGTCCTTCAATTCAAGTCGCACGTTGCTTTCTACCACATCGTTTTAAACGAAGTTTTACCATAACATTCCTCTTGTTTGTGTAATTGATTCAATTATGGAATCATGAATAGTCATAGTTCAGTCAGTATATCGTAATCTATACTTTTTCTTTCTCTATGAATGGAATAGTGAATTTACGCATAAAGGGTTCAGTCAGAATTAAAATGAATCCCATATTAGATTATATATATATATATATATATACAATAAAAATTTGAATATAACTCCATATTTATATATATAAATATATATACTTTTTTTTTTATTAAAACTCTTATAATCCGCGGTTCTACCTTACTTAACTTACCTGCATCACAAAAAAAAAAAATAGATGCTTTTTGAATTCGGTTGAAATTATGAAAAATAAGTTGATTCTTCTTTTAATTTAAATTTTTTATTTTACAAATATTGGGTTTTTAAACAGAAAGAGAAAGATGGTGTACAAAGTCAATAGAAGATTGATTTCATAATGACTTTACTCTGGGACGGAAGGATTCGAACCTCCGAATAGCGGGACCAAAAAACCCGTTGCCTTACCGCTTGGCTACGCCCCATTTCGATTTTTATTCAAGACTATTAAAAGAGTAATATTGCTACTGGTTGTTCGTCAATTCAATTTAAGACAAAATTAAATATAGATTACATTGGTGCTAGGGGTTTTGACACGTCTAGATAGCAAATCAAACTGATTTTATTGATCATTACATAGAATTCAATTAAGATATTGTATGAAAATATTATTTTCTTTAATTCTCATAAGAGAATAAAAGGATTTTTGATTGAGTAAATTCAAAAAAGTCTTTTTTAGACTATCTTTATTTATTTTTTCCTTATATAAAAAATAGATTAATAACTCAATCAAAATAAAATTATCCACAAGAACACCAATTTTTGTTATGCTTAATATATTTAATTTGATCTGTATTTGTTTTAAATTCTGCCCTTTTTTCAAGCACTTTTTTAGTCGCCAAATTGCCAGAGGCCTACGCCTTTTTTGAATCCAATCGTAGATGTTATGCCCATAATAATACCGCTTTTCTTTCTTCTCTTAGCCTTTGTTTGGCAAGCAGCTGTAAGTTTTCGATGAAATTCTTAATACTGTCTTAGAAAAATTCATGATTTTTATTCTTCCACCAATTCAAAAGATCAAAAAAATCTTGACGTAGGAACGAACTATCAATTCAAACATTTTTTTTTTTAAGAATCTAATTAGATTCGAGTTCACCAAAACAAATATCTAAATGTTGGTATGCAAATCTGTTTGAATATGAAAGACTCTACTATTATCTTATTACAAATGATTTGCTGAAACTTTTTTTTTTTATTTTTCTAGAAAAAAATAAACCACTGGATTTATTGGTATCAAAATTAGCTATTTGGTATAAAAATAGAGAATCTATTCTCTTTTTTTTTCAAAAAAAAAAGTAAGATCTTGGAGATTGTGTAATGCTTACTCTCAAACTTTTTGTATACACTGTAGTTATATTCTTTGTTTCTCTCTTCATATTTGGATTCCTATCTAATAATCTAGGACGTAATCCGGGACGTGAAGAATAAAAAAGAAAGGTTTTTTATTACTTTATTTAATTAGTGGAAATGATCAAATTTTATTAGGATTTTACATCATCAAAAGTAGAAAGGGAAAGAGAGGGATTCGAACCCTCGGTACGATTAACTTGTACAATGGATTAGCAATCCAACGCTTTAGTCCACTCAGCCATCTCTCCTAATCGAAAAGTGATACTTAATTAGGTTCCGTTAGACAAAAAAAGACTTAAAAAACCTTCTACACTTTATTCTTAATTCTTAAAAAGCTATCTTTTTTGTTTTTGTATAGATTATTCTGTATTATTATTATATATATATATATTTTCATTTTCTATATTTTATTATATATATATATAACTTTATATAAGTTTTTTATAGAACTTTCTCAATAATTTTATATTACATAAAAAATGTAGATAAAGATTAGATAAAGAAAAGGGTCGAACTCGAAAGAGAAATAAATAAAACCACAATAATAGAAATAAAAAATACTTTTTTGATTTTGTCTCGTCCAAACACAAGTAAAAGACCTTTTTTATTTTAATAGCCTGGCCTGGTAAGTCCCCAGCCGGGCCTTTTTTTGTTAAAGTAAAAAAAAAAAGAATCCGCTTTGACTAATTTTATTAAGTCTACGCTAGAATTTTAGAATTTTTTTCAGATTTTTTATTACACTCCCGATTACTTTGTTCGACAAAAGTTCAATTTATATGCAATAATTGCATTGTAGCGGGTATAGTTTAGTGGTAAAAGTGTGATTCGTTCCTTTAACCCCTTTAATAGTTAAAGGGTCTCTCGGTTTGATTAATTTTCCGATAAAAAACTTTATTTCTTAAAAGGATTGAATCCTTTACCTTTCAATGAAAGATTCAAGGAAAATTATAGATTATCGTAATTTGTATCCAAAGACTCCAATCAATTGTAAATTTGGATTATGAAATTCCGAAACATAATTTTTGAATTGTATGACGATTTACAATTCAATAAGTATAACAAGAGGATCCATGGATAAAGCTAGAAAAGTCTCTTTCTAATCGTAACTAAATCTTCAGTTCTATTTATTGCTTGGTATAGAAAAAATTGAAGCAAAATAGCTATTAAACGAGAACTTTGGTTTACTAAAGACATCGACATATTATATTGTTTTAGCTCGGTGGAAACAAAATACTTTTCCTAAGGATTCCGTTAAATAGAAATAAAGAACGAAGTAACTAGAAAGATTGTTCGAATTCTCCTTTTCTATCTTCTAGAAGGATCATCTAGAAAGCAAAAATTTCTGTGAAAGCATCCAGACGGAAAAAAAAGCTAACATAGATGTTATGGGTCGAATTTTGATTTCGTTCCCGTCTTGTTTTATTTGGGAATTTCTCCATCCATCATAAAGGAGCCGAATGAAACCAAAGTTTCATGTTCGGTTTTGAATTAGAGACGTTAAAAATATAAAAATGATCCATCGGCGTCGACTAAAACCCTTAGCCTTCCAAGCTAACGATGCAGGTTCGATTCCCGCTACCCGCTCTAAATTATAAATTTCCCCTTTTAATATAGAAAATTTTCTCTATTATAATTATCTAATAGCAATTGCGTATTGAATTCATTTCAATACGCAATTGCTATTAGATTTCGCACATTTTTTTTTAACAATTGTAAAGTTAAAAAAAACAAAAAGCGTCCATTGTCTAATGGATAGGACATAGGTCTTCTAAACCTTTGGTATAGGTTCAAATCCTATTGGACGCAATATCAATATAGATATATCTATATTGATATTTCTATATATTATAATTTCTATATATTATCATTTCTATATATTATATAGAATATTATTTCTATATATTATAATTTCTATATATTATATATAATATTATTTCTATATATTATAATTTCTATATATTATATAGAATATTATATAGAATATATTTCTTTATATTTATAAAAAAGATAAGAAAGAAATAGAATAAGAAATTCTTAATGCTTTAAGATTTAATATTAAACAGATATTAGTTATATATTTCTTTATATTATATATATACTTAACTTAATATACTTATATTTTTCTATTTATAAAATTTCTTAAAAATTGAATTAAAGAATAAAATTGACTTAAAGAATAAAAAATAAGAAAAGAATCAAAACTAAGAATGATCCATTTATTTTTTTTATACTTTCTCCTGAAGTATAAAACGTTCTAGTTGCTCTTGAATACCTTCTTTCAAAAAGCTTTCTGCTTCAGCGGTTAATGTCTTGGTAGAGGATATTATTTCTTGGAACTGCGGTTTATTCGTTTTTAAATAAGTGCGTAACTGAACGAGAAATTTTCTTACTTGTCCAATTTCTAATCCATCCAGATAACCATTTGTTCCGGTATAAATAGTCATTACCTGTTCTTCGACTGTGAGAGGGGCTGATTGGGATTGTTTCAGTAACTCACGCAATCGTTGACCTCGTGCCAATTGATTCTGAGTAGCTTTATCGAGATCAGAAGAAAATTGGGCAAAGGCTTCTAATTCAGCGAATTGAGCTAATTCCAATTTTAATTTTCCAGCTCCCTGTTTCATAGCTTTAATTTGAGCGGCGGATCCTACTCTCGAGACAGAAATCCCTACATTAATAGCAGGTCTGATTCCAGCATTAAAAAGATCGGCGGATAAGAATATTTGTCCATCTGTAATGGAAATTACATTAGTTGGAATATAAGCTGAAACATCTCCTGACTGGGTCTCGACGATTGGTAAGGCAGTCATACTTCCTTCACCTAATTGAGAGCTTAATTTAGCGGCTCTTTCTAAAAGACGTGAATGTAAATAAAAAACATCTCCCAGATAAGCTTCACGACCCGGTGGTCTTCGTAATAGAAGAGACATTTGTCGATAAGCTTGTGCTTGTTTGGAAAGATCATCATAAATGATTAAAGTGTGTTGTTCACGGTACATAAAATATTCAGCCAAGGCTGCTCCTGTATAAGGAGCGAGATATTGTAACGTAGCTGGGGAATCGGCGGCTTCAGCTACCACAATAGTGTATTCCATTGCCCCTCGTTCCTGTAAACTAGTCACTACCTGAGCCACGGAAGAAGCTTTTTGACCAATAGCCACATAAACACATATTACATTTTGACCTTGTTGATTGAGAATTGTATATGTGGCTACTGCTGTTTTACCAGTCTGTCTGTCACCAATAATTAATTCTCGCTGTCCGCATCCTATAGGGATCATGGAATCAATAGCGATAAGTCATGTTTGAAGAGGCTCATATACAGAACGTCTCGAAATAATACCTGGGGCAGGAGACTCAATTAACCGAGATTCAGAAGCTGAAATCTTACCTCGACCATCAATAGGGTTAGCCAAGGCGTTTATAACACGCCCCAAATAAGCCTCACTCACCGGTATCTGAGCAATTTTTCCCGTAGCTTTGACTGAACTTCCTTCTTGGATCATCAAACCGTCACCCATGAATACAACACCAACATTATTTGATTCTAAATTAAGGGCAATACCTATAGTACCCTCTTCAAATTCTACTAATTCACCTGCCATTACTTCATCAAGACCATAAATACGAGCGATGCCATCGCCCACTTGAAGTACGGTACCGGTATTTACAATCGTTACTTCTCTATTATATTGCTCAATACGTTCACGGATAATATTACTAATTTCGTCGGCTCTAATGGTTACCATGAGTATTGTCCTAATTCTTTTTTGGAAGAAAAAAAAATAATGCCTATCATAATCGTAAGGAAAAGACTAATCCGTTATTTCTTTCATCGTACCAAACATACCAATATTTGCATTAATAGTACGTAAATGTAACTCATTACTCAAACAACTATTTAGGGTTCCTATAGCTCCTTGTAAAGCTTGTTGGAAAACCCGTTCGCGGACTTGATTAATTGTTCTTTGTTGCTCAAAAAGAATGGTTTCGTTTTTGTAATTTTCTAATTGTTTCAAAGTCCTATAAGTTGAATTAATCAAATTTAATTTTTCTCGTTCGATTTCAGAGTATCCATTCGCGCGAAACTGATCCGCCTCTGTTTCTACTTTACGCAAGCGAGCTCGGGCGTTTTCTAATTGTTGAATAGCTCCTTCACGTAGTTCTTCTGAATTTCTAATAGTACTTAATATTCTCTGCTTTCGGTTATCTAATAAATCATTTAATGAAAGTAGATTATCTTTCCATTCAGTAAAAAAAAGTTCTATGATCCCTTCCCGAACCAAACATGAATCTTTCGATTCATTTGGCTCTCATGCTCACTTATCCCAATCATTTATCAATTATTTATGAGACTTTCATTCCTATATTTTTCATGTAATGAGCCTATCCTCTTCCGATTTTTTTGTATTCAATTCATATTTAATATATATATTTCTATCGAAAAAGATCACCAATCCAAGACAAAAATATTCAGAGGATTCTTCTGACCAATAAAAAATCAATAATTGTCAGCAAAGTTGTTTATTTTTTTCTTGAAATCCAAAGAATTCTTATTACTTTATACGTAGGTTATCAATTCTGCATTATACAAAAAGACTCAAAAAGTTTTATCGACATGAGTGTATAATATCGAAAAAAGTATAACTATTCTTTTTGAAAATCTTATTCATTTTTTAATTAGACTACATATAGTAGAAAGAGTACCATGTTGCATCTGAACTTCAAACGGTTTAGCTTTAACCATGTTAATTAATGGTCCCAAATTTTTGGTTGGTAGAGAATCAAAGTAAAGTAGACTTACCAAATAATAACGAAATGCTATGTTTCTAAAATATGATTTTTTTTATTTAATTTTTTATTCAGAAGTAATTCGCGGGATTAGGCACTCTTTCCTAGTTATAGTGCCACTGGGTGAATCCAGCCTATTCTTGAAATGAACAACTCACACACACTCCCTTTCCAAAAAAGACCAATACACCGAAGACTACACTTAGATTTATTGGATTAGTTGCTAAAATATCGGTATTAAACCCGAAACTCCCGGCGGATGGCCAGTGACCCAAATAAACGAAAGAATCGGTTAAATTTTTCATATAATCTCCTCTTCTAGCTAAACTATAAAAAAAACTCCTTCCCTTTTTTTATTCTTTTTATTTTCAATAAAAATAAAATTCGATTTAATAATTTATAATTAAATTTACCTATTTGGATATTTGTAAACAGAATAAAAAACCTATTCTATTTACAAATGTATTTTCCAAAATTTTTCATTTTCAATAATAATAATGAGACTTATTAGAATTAAGCTATAATTTGAGACCAGGTTTTATGTCAATTTAAAAAAACCTAAATCTGCTTTTTTCGCAACACCCCTTAAAAAAAGTTTACATTAAACTAAAAGAATAAGGGGAAGGAAGAAAGCGAATCGATGTGCTAATTCCCCATCCTCAAATTAGTCCTTCCCAAGGGTTGTTGTCTCAATGAATAATTAGGAGTTAAATCTTGATAGAATTAAAAAAGCTATGAAAAAAAATTATGAATTTTCTGATTTCTAGGATTAAACAAAAAGATTCGCAAATAAAAGCGCTAATGCTACAACTAGGCCATAAATTGTTAAAGCTTCCATAAAAGCCAAACTAAGCAATAAAGTACCTCGTATTTTTCCTTCTGCCTCAGGTTGTCTCGCGATACCTTCGACAGCTTGACCCGCAGCTGTACCTTGACCAACTCCAGGTCCAATAGAAGCAAGCCCAACAGCCAACCCAGCAGCAATAACCGAAGCAGCAGAAACCAGTGGATTCATGATAAGTTCCTCACACCAAAATAAAGAAATAGTTAATGATACAATCATCCAATGACTTAGGACTTAATTATAATTAAGTCATGGCTAAGATTAATATAGCCAAAATCACCAAAAACTTTAATTGAAATAATATAATTATATTATTGAATCATAAGAATTACTTGGATATTAGTTCCTATCCACGGGATTTTGAAAAATTCATAATATATATACGACTTTTTTTCAGCCAATTCACAGATAAAAAGGAAGAACTTCTAATCGAATCCTTATCTAAATCGAAATTCATAAAAGTAGTGGGGCAGATTATAGAGATCTTTAACTCATATATACCTAGTCAATATCAAATATCACATATACAAGTGTTTCTTACATAACGTAAACCAACTATTCTACAATTGGGCTAACGAATATTGAAAAAAAAAATAGTTAATGATGACCCTCCATAGATTCACCTATATAAGCTGCAGCTAAAGTGGCAAAAATGAGAGCTTGAATTCCGCTTGTAAATAATCCAAGGAACATGACAGGTATAGGAACCACTAAAGGTACTAAAGAAACAAGAACAACAACTACTAATTCATCGGCTAATATATTTCCGAAAAGTCGAAAACTAAGCGATAGGGGTTTTGTAAAATCTTCTAAGATGTTAATGGGTAAAAGAATTGGAGTTGGTTGAATGTATTTACTGAAATACCCTAATCCTTTTTTGCTAATACCCGCATAAAAATATGCTACTGATGTGAGTAAAGCTAAAGCAACCGTCGTATTTATATCATTCGTTGGTGCTGCTAACTCCCCTTGAGGTAATTGGATAATTTTCCACGGTAAAAGGGCTCCTGACCAGTTAGAAACAAAAATAAATAAAAACAGGGTTCCAATAAAGGGAACCCATGGACCATACTCTTCTCCAATCTGAGTTTGACTCACGTCTCGAATGAATTCAAGGACAAATTCAAAGAAATTTTGGCCGCCAGTTGGAATGGTTTGTGGATTGCGAACCGCTAAAGCTGCGGAACCTAATAAAATAGCAATTACAACCCAAGAAGTAATAAGGACTTGCGCATGGACTTGGAACCCCCCTATTTGCCAATAGAAATGTTGGCCTACTTCTACACCAGATATCTCATATAACCCTTCTTTTATTAGTGTGTTGATGGAACATGATAAAACATTCATATTGCCCTCTGACAGAAATAAGAACTTTAAATTATTTTGATTCAAGATCCCTCTTTTTTTTTACTTATTTACTTTAATTTTATATTTTAGAATTTAGTTTTGGATACCAACTAAACTAATCACATAATATCCCCAGTTTTTTATCTCTTTTTCTTTTGTACGATTAAGGAGTAGTAACCGATTTTATAAATCGAAATACAGAAAGCCCCCCCTCCCATAAAAAAAAAATTTTTATTTATTTATCTTATTATTAATCAAGAATTTTGTATATAGCTAGAACGGCCCTCACAAATTGCGAATACTAATTTGTTAAGAATGAATCGAATTGAAGCTATAGCGTCATCATTTGCTGGAATAGAAATATCCGCGAGATCGGGATTACAATTTGTATCGATTAAAGAAATGGTTGGAATTCCCAAAGTTATACATTCTCGAAGAGCCGTATATTCTTCTTGCTGATCGATGATGATTACAATATCAGGCAATCCCGTCATATATTTAATCCCGCCTAGATATGTTTCCAAGCGAGATAATTGTCTCTTTAACACAGCTGCATCTCTTTTCGGAAGACGGTTGAATCCCTCTGTCTTTTGTTCAGTTCTCAAGTCCCTAAACTTATGAAGTCTTTTTTCGGTAGTGGACCAATTTGTTAACATGCCGCCGAGCCACTTTTTATTAACATAATGACACCGAGCTCTTATTGCAGCCCGCGACACTAAATCAGCTGCTTTATTTTTTGTCCCAACAATTAAAAATTGTTTTCCCCTACTTGCTGCATCAAAAACTAAATCACAAGCTTCTGATAAAAAACGAGCAGTTCTAGTCAGATTTATAATATGAATACCTTTACGCTTTGCAGAAATATAAGGTGCCATTCTCGGATTCCATTTCCTCGTACCATGTCCAAAATGAACTCCTGCTCTCATCATCTCTTCCAAATCGATGTTCCAATATCTTTTTGTCATTTCTTTTAACACTTAAAAAGTGGGGGGGTACCCCAAACTAAAATAAAAATTTGTTCCGACGGAACCTTCTCTTGTACCGGGGAGGGCCATTTATGCATGAGCCGAGCCATTATTTTGTATTCATTATTATCTTTATTAGTGTTAACAAATTACCAAAGCAAATGACTACAGCAAACAACAAAAAATGAAATTAAAAAGAGGAATCTGCTATTCTGCTATTAGGAATTAGTAAATTCTAGAAAAGGCAGATTTTGAAATAGACGAGTCACAAAATTCCCTGTGGTAGAATAAAATATCTCTCATATCTCCCTCGAATAACGATAAATTCTTTGTTTTTTTTTTTTTCCAAAAGAATGTTGGTATGTTGCCGTGAACAATGCACCAATCCTTTGTTGAATCCTGTACCGGCGGGGATCACCCCCCCTAGAACAACGTTTTCTTTCAGGCCTTTCAACCAATCGATACGACCCCGAAGAGCAGCTTTTGCTAAAACTCGAGCAGTTTCTTGAAAACTTGCTTCGGATATAAAACTTTGCGTATTCAAAGATGCGCGAGTTATTCCTAATAAAATAGCTCGATAACAGATTGCTTCTTCTAAAGCACGCCCCGTGCGTTCTGCTCGTAACAATCCAATCAGTTCTCCAGGTAAAAAAACATT